AAAAAAAGGGAGAGAAAGGGGCGAGACTTGGGATATGATCGAGACGATGAAAACGAAAGGGTTCGGTGTGTCGAAGGGTGCGTTTATTGAAATGTCGGAGAAATTCCAGAAGGATGGGTTGAGTAGTGATGTTGAGAAGTTAAATGAGTTGTTTGCTTCTGGTTCGAAAAATAACGCGAGCAAATTAAATGACCTTGAAAAGATTTGTTCGAGTATTACTAAGATAGTTAAGAGTGAACTGTGGGGAGATGATGTGGAAAAGCAGCTGCTGGAAGTCGGTGCGAAGTTCTCGAGTGATCTGGTTACGAAGGTGTTGGAGAATCTTGAAATCGATCCCAATAAAGCGTTGATTTTCTTTAGGTGGCTGGAGGGAAGCAGTCTTTTCGAGCACGATCAACGATCGTATAATGCAATGGCTAGGGTGTTGAGTAAAGAAGATCACACTGAGAAGTTTTGGAGGTTTGTTAATGAAATGAGAAGTGAAGGGCATGAGATGCAGAGGGATACGTATGTTCGTATCTTGGAGAGTTTTGTCAAGAGGAAAATGATGAAGGATGCTGTGGATTTGTACGAATTTGCAATGATTGGAGGGAACAAGCCTTCGTCGCCGGACTGCATTTTCCTTTTGAAGAAAATTGTTGTAGGCGAAGAATTGGATATGGACTTGTTCTCGAGAGTCTTGGAGATATTTAAGGCCAGCGGTAATGTTTTGACCGATAGTAACCTTGATTCGATTATCAAGTCTTTAACCAGTGTTGGTAAAATGGCAGAGTGCAATGGTATACTGTCGGCAATGGAGGAGCATGGTTATGTACCCAGTGATTCGTCACGATCTAAGATTGCCTTTAAGCTTAGCAAAGGTGGGAAAACAGAGGAAGCGCGAGAGTTTATGGATAACTTATCGACTACTCAAAATGATTCAGTTTATGGAACATGGGTGTCTTTAATTAAAGGATATTGCGAGGCTTGCAATATGGATGAAGCTTCTAGAAGTTTCCGGGAGATGGTTGAAAAGGAAGGAGCCTCGTTTGGTGCACAGCCATTGTTAGACTTGCTGGTCGGTACTTACTGTCGGAATAATAAACCATTCGATGCATACAAGTTTGTTTCAGAGATGGTGAATGATAAAGGGTTAAGTCCTTGGAATGCAACATACAAAACATTGACAAGCAAGCTATTGACTGAAAGAAAGTACTTCAAAGAAGCTATAGATGTTATGACTATGATGAAGAATCAAGATTACGCTCCCGATTTGGATTCGTTTGTTAAGTATTTCTCCAAGACTGGTTCTGCTGAAGAGGCGATTGTATTTTCACAAGCAATGTCGTCGAAAAGATTTCCATCAACTAACGTGTTCCTTCGGTTATTCGACGCGTATCTGAAAGCCGGAAGGAAGAGCGAAGCACAGGACTTCCTTTCGAAATGCCCCAGCTACATTAAAAGCCATGCCGATGTTTTGGACCTGTTTTATTCGAGGAAATCTCGTGGAACCAAGACTAAAGCTGTGGCCGTGGCTGTGTAGCATCAATTTAGGTTTGATTCTGTTTCTTGGAACACCATGAGTTGGTATGTTTTTGTTTTGAACTGTTGGCCAGTTATTTATATTTGAGCATGTCTGAATTTTGATATGAATAAACCAATGAAATGATCCCGGAATCTTGATTTTTCGTGGTAACTGCTCGTTTTTTTTTTTTTTTTTTTTTTTCTCGATCTTTTTGTAATGAGTTCATGTTGAACTTTGATACATGTTTCAGATGCTATCTCTGAAAGCCTGTAGTTAACATCCAAGTTTTCAAGGATGAGATTATCACATTAAAACCTTCTGTAGGCATGTTTTAAAGAGGATAAGATTCTATCCAGTAGCATCTTTTTTATTCCATTATTTGCGATTGGAGTAATATTCGATTTACGTATAATGTTCGATTATCTTATGTTTTATTTTTGAGGATTCTAATCATGCAGTCCTTGTACCTGAGTATGTTGATGATAGCTTCAATCTTATTTTTGCATATAGAAACAGATTCACTGTATGCATGTATATACTTACATATACATACAAGCAGAGAAAACGACCAATCATCTGTGTTCTGGACATTTTAGTTATGGCCCCCCTTCTTTGTCTCTATATCCACCCCCATTCTTACATGGACCAAGAATGTATATATATATGTGAAATGGTTCTTGAAATTAACCTAACTATGGTTACCACATGTGATCGAGACACTTCCATGAGCAAAACGCATGATCGTGACCCTACGTTCGATCGCATGTGAGACGTATCTTTCTCAATGTGAAATCTCTCTTAATATTTCGAAAAAAAAAATCAGATGTAACTGGAATTTTTTGCTGTATATATATATATATATTCGAAAAATAAATGAAAAAAAAAAAAGAAAAAAGAAAAAAAGAAAGAGATAATGCAGATTGCAGAGTAAGTACTATATATGAACTGTCAAATTGACAAAATGCAATCAAGCTGTTATGATTAGTAGCTGTTACTCCGGGAGTGCACTCTGCATCTTTTGTTTCCAAGTATAAGAAGAAATGGGGGACCATGTAATTCTTTTTTTTACTGCAGTAACATTGTTCTTGTAGATGCTATATGCCTAGTGTAATTAATTATATTAATTAAGAATGATAATTGTAAAATTAATATTAATTGTAAAATGACAAATTAGATACCATTAGAGCCCGACTAGGGGTGCAAGTTGGAACGGATTTTCCAATTTCCGCCGGTTCCGATCCGAAAAGTTCCGGTTTTGGAACAACTTTTTTCATTCCAACTTCCGAAATTCCGATTTCCGAAATTTTCCGATTTTTTTGGATTGTAATTGGAATTATATAAAATAAATTTGGAATTTCCGATTTCCGATCCGATTTAATTCCAAAATTAATTCCCAAAAATTTCGATTTTTTTCCGAAAAATACACCTATAAATAGTATATATTATATAATACTTATTTTCCGAAAAATAAACCTATAAGTTTTGTTTTAGGATTTTGACATAATGAATTGTTGTTAGAAGTTTTATTGGATATTATGATGTGTTTATTTTTATTTATTTTTTTGAACTGAAATTTTGTAGTTATTAGTTTTACTTTTATCGACGTGGATGCTCTTATTTTTGAAAAAATTATGAACATTTTAGAAAATTTCGGCTAAGTTTTGAAATTTTAAAGCTTATGTGATTTCCGATTTTTTTCCGAAATTCCGAAATTTCCGGGCCTTTTGGAATTGGAATGAATTTTTAGATTCCGAAAATTTTGGAAATGGAATTGGAATTGATTTTGTACTTCCGAATTTTTTTGGAAATTTTCCGAAAAGGCTAATTCCGATCCGATCCATCCGACTTTCACCCCTAAGCCCGACTGATAAGTTCTTACGTCTAATAAGACTTGATAAGCTGTTACGTCTTATTTTTATAATTAATTTTTAAAATGTAGAAAGTAGTAACAAGTGTATCGATTTATTGGACTACAATATTTCAAATATGAATAAAAAAATAAAAAAAATAATAATAAATTTTCATATTTATGAAATAACACTTTATTTTTTCATGGAAATAAATAAATAAAATAAAAGGGTGGGGTGCCCCAGCAAAGATCAAGGCATAGGCTTTTTTTGTATGCACTAGTTTGGAGGTAATGGTCCCCAAAGCATCCACTAACACAAGTAATTCCTCCTTTTTTTTTTTTAAAATATTTTATTATTATTATATTATAATATTAAAAATAATAATTTATATTTTGTTGAATGGGCTTTTTTCTGGGCCGTATGTCGGGGGTATTAGGAGGAAAGAGACAATTATGCCCAGCTGTGCTCCAAATAATCAGACCTAACTGAGTGGATATTTTTGTCATTTTCATATTTCAAGCACTGTGTTTTTTTTCATGTTGTTTGGTCAATTTCTTCTCTCTCTTGCCCAGAATTTGGTTTCATTTTCTTGTTCAGTCTTCCTCAATATGTCCAATCCTGTCCTACTCTCTCTCTCTCTCTCTCTTACATATAGTTTACATTTTGCTTTATTATTGGTGATTAATTAATTTTTAAAATAAATAAATATAATAAAAGAGAGTTATAATTAATGGGATGAAGAATGTAGTTATATACTTTATTCGATGCAACATAATAATTTGATGATTCTCATATGTGCATGCCCCATCCAACCACTATAGGGTTTGGGTTTCTTTTTTGTAATAAATATGACTTTCTTTTTCACAACATTAATGCCCTTTGTCTTATTTCTTGTAATAATTCAGATATTTTCAAATTTAGAAACTCTATTATATTCTTTTATTTTTTTTTCTCAAAATAAATTAAACAAAGTACATAAATATTCAGATGCATAGGGTAAAATTACACTCTCGTATAATAACTTGCAAATTATACAAGACACGTAAACTACACTATAATAATTATGTGTGACAAGCTCGACCTAACAATTATTAGTATGAGAATTCAAACTTTGATCAATTGACACGAGCGCAATTGCTCCAATCATCCAACCACTAATTTCTCCCTTACAGGAATATAAACTTTTCCTTTCTTTTTCTTTATTTTGTTTTTAATTCTTTTTTTTGGGGGAGATAACATTCCTTTTTTCTTTTGACCAGTCAACATGTAAGAGTTGGAATCCCACTGAGGGAGAGGCAATATTTCCACTGTATAGTGATATATTTACAGTCTCTGCCTAATACTATAATAATTATCCTTAATCTCTACAAATTATGAGTATAATCTTTAATTATCCAATGAGAAGGGGTTTCTAATTTCCTTTTTAAATTAATAAATTAAATCAAAACATTTTTCCATTTAATTGTTGATTAACTAATGTTCATAAAAAATAAAAAATAAAAGGTTTGATTTTTCCATTTTTTCCATTTAACTCATTTGATTTTTTTTTTAATAATGTTCATAAAAAAAAAAAAATATATGTGCGCCTATAATCATAATTCACAACAATAAAATAGCATGATGCCCACGCGCTGCAAATGGGGCTCAATCTAAGCAATATTCTACTCTTAATAATGCTACTAAAGTCTAACACAGAGAAGGCGTGCTTTATTTTTCTAAAGTGCTTCTCTTTTGCACATGCGCTTTTTATCTTTTTTTTTTATTTATTTTTAATTAATTAATTTAAAAGAAAAGTAATTGAAATATTATTTTTAATTGAATAATGGTAATGTGGAAGGTGACCAAAACCATTACCAATATCAAAGACAATTTTATCGAGATTCTAAAATTATTCTTTAAAATATAAATTACACTTTAGGATTTTATTGAATGGCCAAACTCAGGGAATGTTGGATTCCCCTCTGTCCTTTCCCATTAATTATTAATTTATTATTATACGTACAGCATCATATATAAATTATACGAAAATTACTGTATGTAAAGTTAAGAGAGATAAAGACAAGATTAAGTTGTACTGAACCACAGATTACATATTTCCATGCAATAATATGGCTACCTAATGACTTATATATGGCCCCCATTAAGATATATTTGGATTTATTTTGTCTCGGCATTATTTTGTCTTTATTTCTATTCAAATATCAAAAAAATTGAAATATTGAATATAATAAAAATTTCTCCGGAAGACACACTAGTGTGTGTGGGAGGGGTGTTAGGAGTGGAATATTTCAGTGAAAATATTTCGAAAAAATCGGAAATTAAAATTTTGAAAATGGAACAAAAAAAATGATCTGTCCCGAAACTGGAATTGTCAAAAAATGAATCGAAACTACTATTGGAAATAAAAATTGGGATTTCATATAACATTGTAATTGCAATCCAAGAAAAAAGTTTGGAGAAATCGAAATAAATCAGAACTTTATTATTTAGAAATCGATATTTTTTTTCTTTTCGATTTGAAAACGTTGTAACTCAGAAATTACATTCCAATTTGCACAATAACATATGTTAAATGAAGATACATGATTAACACGGATAAAGACACAGTCTTTTAGTAGAATTCATCCCATGTTAGGTTAACTTTTAGTTAGTAAAAAAATCAAAAATAAAAAAATAATAAAAAATAATAAAAAATAAAAAACTATATTCTTGACAAAACTCCTGACCCGTGACAGGCATGCTAGTTCCCTTTACACGACATAAAAAAAGACTGAGCTTTTCTTGAACACAACACAACACAACACAATAATGAAATTTCAAATAACCCTTTGCCAATCTAAATCACCACCAAGAACAAGAACATAATTCATTATTACAGCAAGCTTCTGTAAGAGAAAAATGGATACGCATACACCATTCTTTTTCATCATTTTTCTATGCTTTCTCACCTCTGCAGCTGCTCTTCTTTCCCCTAAAGGTGTTAACTTTGAAGGTAAAAAACTGATCTTTTTTTTTTTTTTTTTTTTTTTTTTTTAAAAAAGAGAAAAATAAGGGTATTTAATTAATTAAAGAAATGGGGTGGTGTGTAATGAACTAATCTTGGATTTTGAATTAGTGGAAGCATTAATGGGGATAAAAGGTGGATTAAGGGATCCACATGGGGTTCTTGATAATTGGGATAGAGATGCTGTTGATCCTTGCAGCTGGACTATGGTCACTTGTTCTTCCAACAATCTTGTCATTGGCCTGTAAGTAATTACTATCTTTATATATATATATATATTTCCTCCTTAAACTAATTTTGATGTGATTAAGGATGTTAATTAGGTTTAAAGATTGCGTTTTTATTTTTTTATTTTTTAATGCAGAGGAACTCCTAGTCAGAATTTATCTGGTACTCTTTCTCCCAGCATTGGGAATTTGACAAATCTTCAGATTATGTAAGCAGTAACATTTTTTTTTTTTCTATTTTTCTCTAAGAACATATATATAGTGTTTGATGAATTTTTTATTTTTATGTATTTATTTATTTTATTTGTAGATTATTGCAGAATAATAATATAACAGGACCAATCCCAGGTGAGGTTGGGAAGCTTTTGAAGCTTCAAACACTTGATCTTTCAAACAACTTCTTCACTGGGAATATTCCTCCTCCTTTAGGACACCTCAAAACCCTTCAATATTTGTAAGAATTTAAAAATCTCAATTTTATTTAAAAAAATAAAATAAAAAAATGAGCTTCAGTTTATATAATTTTTAATTTTATTATTTTTTTGATCAGGAGGCTCAACAATAACAGTCTCTCTGGAGAGATTCCAATGTCACTAACCAACATGACTCAGCTTTCTCTCTTGTAATTTCTCATTTTCCTTCTTTTAATTCAGTGGCCATAATTTTTTTATTTTTTAAATTCTTGCTAATTCAATGTGTGTTTGTCTGTAATTTCAGGGATTTATCTTACAACAACTTAAGTGGCCCTGTACCAAAATTTCCTCCCAAAACATTCAAGTAATATATTTTTATATTTTTTATATATGCATTTTCTTGATTCTGCCCTGTAATTACAATTAATTAACTTAATCTCTAATTTTACTGTTATTAACAGTGTAATCGGGAACCCGTTGATATGCGAAACGGGGTCCGAAGAACAGTGCATCGGCAGCACAACTTTGATGCCAATGTCCATGCCTTTGAACACTTCACAAAGTATGACAAAAAACATTTAAATTACATCAAAGTACTTTTTAATTCTAAATATTTACATTATTTCATATTTTATCCTAATATTATTATTCCAATAGCTGCTCTTACTTCTGCGAAATCAAAATACCACAAACTCGCACTCGTAATCGGAACAAGCCTCGGCGTCGTATCTCTACTCGTCATCGCCTTCGCTCTTTTCTTGTGGCGAAGACAATTGCGCAACCGACAAAAATTCTTCGACGTTAATGGTTCGTATATAAAAAAATTAAAAAACAAGATTTTAGATTTGTTTTTTTTTTAACGAGTCTATTATTTCAGATCGCCAGCACGAAGAAGTCTCACTGGGGAATCTAAGAATATTCCGATTAAGGGAGCTACAAATAGCGACAAACAATTTCAGCAACAAGAACATCCTAGGCAAAGGCGGATTCGGAAACGTCTACAAGGGCTTCTTACAAGATGGGACAGCTGTCGCCGTCAAGCGGCTCAAAGACGGCACCACCGCCGTAGGCGAGCGGCAATTCCAGACGGAAGTCGAAATGATAAGCCTAGCTGTCCACCGTAACCTCCTCAAACTCTACGGATTTTGCATGACATCATCCGAAAAGCTTCTTGTCTACCCTTACATGTCCAACGGAAGCGTCGCCTCTCGCCTCAAAGGTATACACACACACACACATTCATGCATATATATATGTTGTCTTAAAAATGAGTTGTAATAAAATTTTGAGAAAAAAAACAGCGAAACCGGTATTGGATTGGGGAACGAGAAAGAGAATTGCATTAGGGGCGGCAAGAGGACTATTATACCTACACGAGCAATGCGATCCGAAGATTATTCATAGAGATGTGAAGGCGGCAAATATACTTCTTGACGAGTACTGCGAGGCCGTTGTGGGAGATTTCGGTCTAGCGAAGCTTCTAGATCATCAAGATTCCCACGTGACGACAGCTGTACGCGGTACGGTGGGCCACATCGCACCGGAATATCTCTCCACGGGCCAATCTTCCGAAAAAACAGACGTTTTCGGATTCGGAATCCTTCTTCTAGAACTTATCACCGGACTAAGAGCACTTCAGTTCGGCAAATCGGCTAATCAGAAAGGAGCAGTTCTTGATTGGGTGAGCATATATATATGTTATCGGTTTATTGCACTCAACACCCCTGTATTTTCTCCAATTGTCAAAAAACTCCCCATTTCATTTTATTTGCAAAACAACCCCTAACATTTTTTTTAGCAAACTACCCCCTAAATATAAGGTGGTCTTTTGCTAATATTTTTAATCGGGGGAGTGTTTAAGAAATTCGATACAGCACAGGGTTATATAAGATTCATCAAAAAAAATTAAAAAAGTAATAATATATTAGTTTCTAAAAAAAGCAAATTTTTTTTTTTTTAATTAGGTGAAGAAGCTTCATCAAGAGAAGAAACTGGAAGAGGTAGTGGACAAAGATTTGAGGAGCAACTACGACATAATCGAGCTGGAGGAGATTGTACAGGTGGCGCTACTGTGCACGCAGTATCTACCTGGTTTAAGGCCAAAAATGTCCGAAATTGTACGTATGCTCGAAGGAGACGGACTCGCAGAGAGATGGGAAGCTTCTCAGAGATTGGAATCGAACAAGTTCAAGACACAAGAATTATCTTCGTCTGAACGGTATTCTGACCTTACCGACGATTCTTCGTTAATCGCTCAAGCAATTGAGTTATCTGGTCCGAGGTGATATATACACACAAAATATCATATAATATGAAACTTTCTTAAAGAGGGAAGTTGATACATATAATATAATTATAGCATAACAAAGTTTGTAGCTCAAAAAGCAATTGATTCATTACTGTATAGAGATATGGTATTTTTTATTATTTTAATTAATTGTAGGAGTTGATGATGTTTGTGTTATGTATAATGTGAGTGAACAAGAAGCTGGAATTTGAGTAATACTATTGTGATAGTATGTCATGCATGCATGCACTTTGTGTGTTATTATTGCCATATTTTGGATTTGAGTGAAGACCATAATAATCAATAGTTCCAACAAATAATGTATAACAATAATATTATTGATGGCGTAGGATTTACACTCACCTCTTTTCAAACCCTACTTCTTTGGCCGTCGAAAAGCCAACATCGTAACTCGTAAGGCATGCATGCTCGCGAGCTCTTCAGCTCGTTGAGGTGCATGATACTTATGTCCGCAAATCATATTTTTTTGAGCCAGCTGTCGAACTATTAAGCAATAGTCTTGACTCTTGAGTACCGGCAGTCCGGCCCAACAGTCCCGATCAAATCTAAAATTTATTAAAATAAAAATATATATCCGATTTTAACCGTTTGAACCCATTTTTATCCGGGACCATATTTTTTTTTTCTGGTATGGGTTTCTTTTAATTATTAATAACCCATAAATAAATGAATATGGTAGCTGTTTTCTTCTAAGAAAGTAAAATAAATAAATAAATTTATGACTGTTATTTTTAAAGTTGTATGGCCCAAATAGAAATAGAATGGGCCTTTTTTCGTACCAAGCCCAACAGTAATCTCTCTCTCCCTCTCTCTCTCTCTCTCCTGGTTTTATGTATTTCTTCTGTAATAATTTTGCATTTCAATTCCAATTTTTTAAGCTAAAACCCTAATCTGCTGAATCATACCCTAAAAGCTTATATGCTTGATAATTGACACAAAGTTACTTCTCCGATTCAATTAAGCTTGAGTGGCAGTTCTTCATTTAGTACTCGAACAGAATTGGGGATCATAATGGAGTGCGTGGTTCAGGGAATCATAGAGACTAAGGTAATCTCCCAACCATAATCGCCAACCATTGCCATTTTTTTTTCACGATTGATGTTAGAATTTTATACGACTGTCGTTAATTTTCGCCCCTGAAAGTTTGTATTACTGATTTTTCTTTTTTCTTCAGAATTTCCATTTTCCAATTGTTTGATCTTATTATCTTGTCCTGTACAGCTGTACAAACGTTGCCAGTTTAATTTTGTTGTGCTATTGCTAATTAAGTAGAAAATCGGAAATGTAGATGATTTCTAGCTTCAAAGATGGATGATTACTTTTTTTTTCCCCCCAATTTTAGTTGATTTTTTTAGTCGTGCTAATGAAGTAAAAACTCGGAAATTGTGCAGCATGTTGAGGCACTGGAGATTCTCCTTCAAGGACTCTGTGGCGTTCATCGTGAGAGTTTGAGGGTTCACGAATTATGTCTGAAAAGTGTCCCAAATCTCGGTATATATCGATTCTCACTCCATATTGTAACTAGGGTTAACCGTGTCTATATGTAATTAGACTCGGTTACCTTAGTTAAACTATATTTTGTGTGGTTCAGTAATAGCGGGATATCTTCTTTTCCTTCTCTTAGGATTAGTATCATCGGAAATCCGACTCCTATGCGATCTCGAGCAACCCGAACCGACATGGTAAGAGTCGGGGAGTTGACTTTCAGTTATTGGCTGTGCGAAAAAAAAATGATATATATATATATATATATATGGAATATTAAATTGATTGCGTAGGACTGTGCGACACGTTGGTGGTGCACTGAGGGGAGCTGGAGCGGATCAAATCTCTGTGCTTGTGAGGAATATGATGGAAAGTAAAGTAAGCAAGAACGCGCTTCGATTATTCTATGCTCTTGGATACAAGCTCGACCACGAGCTACTGAGAGTTGGGTTCACCTTCCAATTCCATAGAGGCGCTCAGATAACAGTGACAGTTTCTTCGGTTAATAAAATGCTGAAACTGCATTCGACCGACGAAGCAGTGCCGGTTACACCAGGTATACAGCTTGTTGAAGTGACTGCCCCTGCTTCGTCTGAGAACTATACCGAAGTTGTTGCTGCTATGTCTTCCTTTTGTGAATATCTTGCTCCGTAAGTTCGTGGTTTTTTTTTTTATTGGCTTCCTTATGCTAAAGATAGTTAACTGCACGCTTTGTCATTCGATTTTAGTCCAATCTAGTTGAGGAGTTTATGTGATTAAAACAAAATTACACAACCTCACAGTTCGTCTATGTAGTAGGGGTTCACCCCGTTTTGTCAACGTTTCTCAAACTAGCTAGAGCTGATTTTACGGCAGGAAGAGTTTGATTATATAATTTAGACGTTCTTCCCATTTTGGCTTACGTAATGCTTGCACATTTCAAGAATTAATGTCGTGCAAGAACTAGTTCAAAGGCGTTCGTAATTTTGTAGTTCTCACTCTTACGAATTCGTAACTCTGAATATTTGATTGTTTACAGTGCTAATTTCTTAGACAATCGACGTATTTATACCCATACAGAGAAAAGAAACATTACATTCTTATTTTAATCTAATCAGGTTACTGCATCTATCGAAACCCGGTGTCTCAACTGGAGTTGTTCCAACAGCTGCCGCAGCTGCCGCATCTCTAATGTCGGACGGTGGAGGAACGGCACTCTAATGTTGTAACAATTTTTTATTTTATTTTAATTATTTCTTTAATCGAAAAAAAAAGACACAATGTACCATGAGAACGTGTAACATTTTTTTTTTAAATTTTTTTTATGATTATGAGCTGAGAAGGGTGGGTGGGGGGCTTGAATATTTGAAAGGGCAGATGAAGATTAATTTCAATTGATTGGGCCCAGATGGCCACGTGATTATTTGGATTGGTGCTGAGTGGTAATACTTGTTACAATTGGTGGCTGTGGTTTATAGTAATCTTCATTTTCTTCCACTCTGATTTTTTCTTCTTCTTTATTTCATTTAATTGCCATATTTTTCCAATTTTGATTGATTCAGTTTCACCCACGTCACTAATTAAAATTTTAATTTCTTTGTTTTTCTATTATAGAAAAAAAAATGTTACGAGACTGTTCATTTTGACTGCCTTTTCAGTATTGATGTTGCTATTGGGGCGGGCCTGCACTCGATTTATGACTTTGATGTCGATCCATTGCTATATATATATATATATATATATATATATATATATATATATATATATATATATATATATATATATATATATATATTGGTGGTTAATCATTTTTAATTCTAATCGGAATTCGTTTAAACGAGTTTGGGATGATCATGAGTTGAGATATAGTTAATGGTAATGGTTCTGGTATTTCATATATATACTGTTCGAATACTCGTTGTGCTGCCTTCCCTAATTATGAATCTATTTTTTTTTTTATGGTCAGTAATTTGGGAGTTAGATGCTACATTTGATTATTTACATCAGTTGATTATTAATTGTAGAAGCTCTAAACACACATATACATGAATGTGTATGATTATATGCAGATCTACGAATAATATCATTTAGTATGTGTAAATAAATAATCAGGTGTAGAATCTAGTTAGATGTTCGGTAATTTATCCTAAATTTTAGGGACTTGCTAAAAACATGTAATCCACGGAAGGAGTGTGTACAATTACAACTATTGATGTGGAAGCAACATGACAAATTTGGGGTTGTCCCAAAATAAGTCTCGAGGGGCCCACCAAGATTCATGCCAACCACAAGATGATGGACCACCTTCTCTCACCCGCTAAATGCACGCCAGGTGTCACATCATTAATTTCGCCACTTCCCT